TTTAGCTAGTTCATGTTTTTTTTGCCAGATTGCAAAGGCTTCTTGGTGCCTTGCTTTGACCTCAGCTTTTACGCTACCATCTTCAACAGCATATATAGCACGAGTGAGGACCTTCCGTTTTGCAAGCTTTTGGCCACATGTTGTGATACCCTTGGCCTCAATTGCTGCATCCACTTCACCCTTCATGCACTTGTTGTAGAAAATCTGTGAGTAAATTTCTACTTCTTGTGGAGCTCGTCCTGATACCTCCTCTCCTCCACTCAGAGTTTCACTCATGTCAAGCGCTCCTTTTAATCCCCCTGCTCATGCGTTACGTGCAATGTTAGTCTGCCATCCATACTATCTTTTGATCAGCTAGAAGGTCCCGCAGGTTAGTATGATGCAACCAAATTTTATGCATTGGATACTTACTATTTTATGATGACTCTGGGCATTACACAGTACTGTTGTCTGGGCCTGTGTGAGGTCTCCTTCCAACTGGACACCATTGATGCGCTCTGGCCATTGTGCCTCAAACATGGTCCATGTGTCAAGAAAGAATTCTGTGTATACTTTTGTCTTTTGACAAATAAAATACTCACCCATTCTGCTTAACAGGAATTCTTGCTGTTCTGCAGTAGCCCAAGGCTTTGGCCCACGACGACGCACCATTATCAAGTAGATGAAGGGATGATAGGTCCAGAGTCAGTGGGAAGGTGGGAACCAAACCACAGAAGTCAACGAATCTTAAAAGCTGGCTCTTGGCACATCTGTTCTGCTTGCTGTTCGGTGGCCAGACACTAGTGTACTGTATATTACTCTCAGTGCAAATTGTAGAAGTTAATGTCTGATTAATGAAAGACAAGACAGCCGTACTTCAGTGTGACCACACCCGCACTAGGCTTAAATAAATGTGCGGACCAGTGCAGCTGGGTGCCATCACAATGTTACTAAAGTGCAGTGTTACTGACTTTCACTGCGCTCTGTTTCATGCGGTGTTATTTCTTTCTAAGTAATCACTCCAAGCCTAAATAGCAACCATGTACAAAAACATGATGTGGGCAAGATTCTACAATACATTGGTCAATATATATATGTCGACACCATCCTGTATTTGTACAGGGAGCTGATGTGTCCATCTCGTGCTAGAGGGCCTTGTTCTCACCTCGCATGTTGTTTAGAAGACAGGTGACTTCGCCAGGGAGTTTGATGCTAAGGGTTAGATGAATTTGAGTTTGGTGGTGGGAATTGAGTGGGACTTACTGTCTATGTTCACAACAATCAAGCTTGAGAGCTTTACGTTTGGTGGCATCCAAAAGGTCTGGACATGCACGGAGGAATTTGGGGTGGCAGAATTCCCAAGTCTAGGATGTTGATGATGTACATTGGGCCTGTGGTGTCTGTTTTATGAGATATTAGATAGTAAAATGAGTGGAGATAGGTACGGACTCTGTTGATTTTGTGAAAGCCATACATGTTCAGTTGGTAGACATGTGAATCGTGTGTTGAATTGAAAGGTAGGAGGTTGTCGACTGAGATGAGCCCAGCCACAACTTATGGTGCACTGAGTCCTATTGCCTTGTGAGTATCTGTGACATGACTAAGAGAGTGTGGCTGTAATCACGCTAGAAAGGGACACAGGACACACCAACTGAAAATATTTTGTTTTTGAAAGGAAGATTCGTAATGTTTGAACCCAGCTCAATGGTTATCTGAATGAATGGATGAATGTGCAAGTCTCATAATGCGTTGTCCAGCAGAACCTCAACAGCCCAGGGCTTGGGGCTTGAAGGGGGATAATTGACTTACAACGACCAAGGCTAGACTGACAGACCCGAACATAATATACAGCAGTTCACATGACCATCAAATCCTCTGTGCAGATGTGTTTTGAATTCATGCAGTGGCTGCAGCCAGAGTCCAGGACAGATCATGAAGGCGGGTGGGCCACATCGACTTCAGTGACAGTGCAGAATTGGGGAAATATTACATTGCAAACATAATAAAAGTGATCCCTAAGTAAAAGGGTAGTCAAGCACGGAACAATAAGCAAGTGTGAAATAGTAAGCAAACATGACAGAATGAGAGTGGATTGGAGCTCAACTTGAAGTCAAGCAGTCAAGAACTTGCGACTTGGAATAGTGATGGAAGGACAAAAAACTCTGTCGTTGTGTAGGAATAGATTGTTACAACTTGGATGGTATCTGTTGGCGACGGTCAAACAGAGCGTGTGTCGTCAACGGTAGAGGACATCCTTGGGCTAGCACAAGGTTAGGGGTCTTACTTGGCGAGGCTTCGGCAAGTAAGATTTGACGCCTATGTCCAAATCGGGTAGCTTATGTCAAGTGGATGCTAGACGATGAGCTGTATCTGCCAAGGCTTACGACACCCGAAGGTTAATCGTAAGATCGTCGTTAATTAGAAGGACAGAAGTCCGACTAGTTAACAGGGGCTTTGCTCGTCGACGAAGTCGATGAGTAAAGATCGAGACTATAGGCTTATCTGCGAAGAGCAGATAAGAAGATAGAATATAGACTGCTGGCTAGGCAGAAAGGATCACTCTGGTGAGAGTAGGAGGTCAAGAACCAAGTAGATTCAAGTTAAGGAATATGTTACATGGTAGCGAGTTTATATAGAGGACAGGAAGCGTATTAGTGGATGATAACTCGTACTACCAAGAGAAGTAAATGGTAAAGGGTATAACCATAAAAGGAAGGCACGTTCGAGGTGAGACACGGGTGAATCCTGAATGTGCGGATAAGAAAGTGAGTCAAAGATCAGAATAAGAAGTGAAATGCGCAGGGGCACGATCGTGCAACTGTGGAGCTAAATATAAGTAACATGTGCGACTGTGCACAGAGTCATAGATCAAGAAAGGGAACAAGGTAAAGGGGATGCGTCGTGCATCATATCATAGGTTACCGTCCAGACGGTAAGGGCAGGGGGACTGTCCACAGGATCAGTCAGGTGGTGGAACGGAGCATGGATATGCTTCATCAGCGAACAGATCCGGCCAGATGTACTGGCTCTGCTGAAGCGACAGATAGAGAGCGAAAGGGAAGGCGAGAATGGCAAGGATGACAAGGGTAAGGTCGGGGTAAGGGTATGACGCGAGGGCTAATACGAGGAGGATTAGGAGAAAAATGGTGGGGGCCCAAGCATCTAGATGTTCTTGTAACATAGATAGCACATTAAATCACTCCAGTGTGCCCTGAATTTTGTACCAATGGAAGTTTGAATGAGAGAGCATCCAGTCATAATCGAGAACTTATCTTGAATATTCCAGAAGCATGACATGTGTGTTCCTTATACATGGTGAATGGGGCTGGCACTTCTTTGAATAAAAAATGACACCATCATTTGTTATGATGTTGAATAGGCCCGGGCTCTTCTATGTGTCGTTGGGATATTGAAATCATGCTTCCAAGAGATTAGTACAAGTTAACAATGAGCCTGACTCGGAGTCACTGGCTAGATGGATACATACCAAAATACATTATGGGGCAGTTTAGGTAGTTCAAATTCAAATTTCAAGTAGATCATACTATCAGGTGCAGTTGCACATGCAGCTGTATCCTCACGATGAACTTCAATTTTCTGTGTATTGTACAAGATGTCCACTCAGGTTTGCCAGTAATAACTTGTCAGGGGAGACTACAACATTGCACTTACTAGTACTCAGTACTCATGATTGATTCAAACATCACAAGAGTCAGAGTCAGTGACAAGAGCCAGTACAGCGGCTATCTGTACATAGTATTAATTAGAGTCATCATCCCAAAGTGGTAACTTTGGCTTACTCGTTCAAATGTTCAGACATCACACTATCGTGACTCAAACCATAGTATACAGTCACTGCGGAAACGAGATTTTGATCAGAGGATATTCTGAGTCGAATGAGAGTAGCTTCACCATCAACCTAGAATGGCCTTCACAGCTCAGGGCATTTGAGTTTGCCTTCAGCAAAACAAAACCAGGTCCTGTAGTAAGTGCACCATTCTTGTCTTTTGGCTCGCTTACCAGATGCTGATGATACTCTGTCTGCATCTTGCTCTTGCTTACCCAACTCTGATGACGCTTTGTCCGTGTCCCGCTCCCATCCAGTGTGTGTTCTTATCTTTTGGCTCACTTACCTGACCCTGATGGCACCCTACTTGCATCCTGCTCTCAGATAGTGTGTGTCCTCATCTTTTGGTTTGCTTACCCAATGCTGATGATGCTCTGGCCATGTTCTACTTCCAGATAGTGGGTGTTCCAGTCTTTTGGCTCGTTTACCTGGTGCTGAAAGGTGCTCTGGCAGTGTCCTGCTCTCAATCGGTACATGTTCTCATCCTTTGGTTTGCTTACCCAATGCTGATGACTTGACACGAGCCCGTTTGCAGCATCAGTAGACTCAGTACAAGTAAGTTTTTTTTATGGTTCTTTAAAAATAGATATCTTATTGTTTGATTACCATTCCAGTCCACTCGCGAGAGAGCCGACAGAGACAAGTAGGATTGGCCCCTACCCATACTACCAAAGTTACATGGTATGTCCATCATCATACGCTGTCGGTCTTGGCTGAAATAATTTTGCATACTAGGGAAACTTGAAGCACCACTTGGGTACTGCTGTGAGCTCACACATTGTGTTAGTGAGAGGCAGGGAGCAACAACTGGGGGCATTCGGGAGCGGGGTGAATTCACATGAGAAGCATATGAACATATGGTTGTTTTGTATTCTGTAGGTACCCATTGTCATAGAATCCGAGTGCAAGCTGGATGCTTCACTTAATGTTATTGAGTGCCCTCACATTTATATAGCTGAGTAGCTAGCTAGCAGCGCTAGCATGTATTTGCTGAAATATTTAATAACTTTTGCAATTTGTCAGAAAATAATTAAATGCCTGCAGCCAGATATACATCTAGTAAGTACAAAAATGTGTTCCACCTGAACTTCACTGGAGCTGATTACTGCATGCTTGAATGCTCCTATCTGTCTCACTTCATGACCCCACTTTTGCCAATCTTTTGATCAGTCTGCTACACCATGTGAGTCCATCTTGTAATGAAATTGCAGTGGCCACCAACAGCTTCAGCAAACAACTGTATCCTGTGCACCCTGAAATCTTTGAAAGGGATGAGTGTCACACCCGGTGGGGGTTTTGGGAAGGGTGGAAATGTAATGAATGGAAACTCCTGGATTGCTGTCGTGTCTGATGCAGAGGGCTCAGCAATCCTTGAAGGCAAGTGATCGACAACTACAATAGAGTTTTTTTTAGCGCTGAACTTACCAGAGCATCTGAAATATATGCCTTGCAGGTTGCTCTTAGACCCCCTACTAGCATCGAAGCGTCCGTTACTTAGAAGACCTGAATAAGACAAAATTGCGAGCTACATTAGGGGGCAGATAAATTGATGTGCACTAAGTTCGTACTTAACACTTGTGTACCTCTACCCTTCTTAATTGCAGTGTAAAGAAGGACTTCTCCAACAGTGAGCAAAGTGACGGCATAAACCACATCAGAGAAGCCTTCGATATTCTCTGCGACTTCATCCCTGGATACAAGTGCTCAGTAAGTACGTGCAATGTCAGACAGGACTGACTTACCAGTGATTAAAAACACCAATATATCACCCACAAGTGACACAGTAATAGGGTCCAATCTGGCAGGCACTGCCGGTATGTTGTAGAGGATCCCATGGTACAGGTATACAAAGCATTCATTGGCCATTGCACCAACAAGATCCTTATATAAGGCTGTGTCGTGTTTGACCCACCTGACATCTGCATCTGCCTCTCCATTGAAGTAGGGCATTATAGTGAACAGTAGAGTTTCAGGTAACTGAAAAAAGTGCACCAGTAAGACTCATCAGTGGTGGATCAGGTGATGACGGGGGTATGCATGCTATAGTAAATGAACCAAGGGTCGACAATGAAGTGTGCATAACAGGAAAACCCTGGTGGCAAAATGATCAGTTTCGTAGAGGTGTCAGAAAAGCTACTCACCCTGTGCATGAGGCCTGGGCTGCACACCTGGACCAACCAGCATGGAGCATTTCAGACCATGTTCGATATTTTGAACTAATGAAAAAATTGGGGTTCTACTCAAGGAGGTTGGAGGAAAGGACAGGAGAACCATACAAAACTGACATGAACAATATTCAAGATCATTGGTAGGTGGCGCAGATCCTTCTGAGTGTCGCGCAGTTGAGCCTGGGGACTCAGACATCAGAGTAAAGGAAAGGCACAGTGAGGGAATATTGACCGGCAAGCTCATTTATAAGGCAGCGAAACAAGCATGTAATGCATTACTCAGCATCTTACAAAGTAATGCATTACTAATACTACCGTACAGACTTGAGTGTTCATTCCCTCCATTTCCAATGACATTGAGCTGAGGATGATCCAACACTGCTTTAACATGTGTTGGAAAGGGGGTAGACATTGAGGCACTCAAACATGACAACAAAGCGATGCTTCATGCATCAAGCATGTTCACACCCTATCCGGACAAACATGTAAGCAGTCTTGTTATAACACAGCCAAATGATAAACAGCAGAGGGTATAGTACAATGGTTGTATCTCTCAGATTAGAAGTGTATGTGACCAAATACTAGTACCTGTCCATAGCAATTTCAATGCTAAGACAAGAACTGTTAACCGTCATAGTAACATGTCATTGCACCGAACTGCAACACACACATGTGAGGAGATGCAACAACAAAGTGGACTGGAGATTATGAGGAGGGTATTGCCCCTTGTCAAGCATGCAGGACACAACTGATGACCATTGGTGCAAAAATAATGTTGGAATCTGAGAGAGCTGAAGGAGAGAAAGACAAAGCGGCCCAAGAATAGGCACAGGGGGAGACGTAGAGGGTAAGCACATCCAAAATGGGAAGAGATGGGTGATGTGTTGATGTTGGCTCACACCATGCAATGTTTCAGTTTATTTTTCCGTATATCAAAGTTCCTGGTGCACTCACCTTATGAGCCCCAGTCCTAGAGTTGAAACATCTCAGTCTTCAATCCATGTGAGTTAATACTTCATTTTATCTACCACTCTAACATCAAATAGATTTCCACCTTTGTATAGGTACAGAGTTTGTTAGTAGAGTCTTCAATCTGGATGCTGAGATATTCGCACCATTTTATAGCCTTTGTGCCTCCCATTCAATGCGAACTCCAATAAATAACACCACCTACAACAAGAGTGAGTGGAGCCCAACATTAAACTTGATATACACAAGGCTAATTGCAAGCAGGAGAAGGACAGAGGATGACTCGTCAGAATACTGATGGGCCATCAGCCAAGGTATGTCAGCATATTCCCACACCTTTGAGGCACGTCTGCGTCTGCCATCTGACACCACCATGACTTACCGATGTATCACACTTGTACGGTTATAAGCTCAACAGTTTGGCCTCGAGCCTTTCCATAGTGCCTCTGTAAGTATGATATAGTATCTAATGTATCATCTTACATCAAATCTTAGCAAGTATAATTCCTAGTAATGACCTGCAGGTCATGTACACTGTCCGATGTCTGCTTCCCCAACACCTATCATCCAAAAATGTCAACCAACGGAAGCGAGTCAAGCTTAATGTCTACACCCCACCCCACCCTGATGCCCCAACTGTTCACCAAACATACACATTTGTATCATGCAGTCAAGGCTTCCAGGCACATAGTTCTCAAGTTAACAGCTCTCAGACTGAACCTCAGACCGAAACTGAAACAATGAATGATGAAGTTTTCAATATGAATTTTGATTATGATCATGACACATGATATTTGCGACATGGAGCATGTGAAGGGTCACAATAAAACTCAATGGAAACGCACAGCTGGTGTAGGTCTCCTTTTGTACCTAGTAATAAGCCATTCTCACTCATTCATCAGGACCATCCACTTCTATTATGGATGGGTGATTGGGATATGTTCTTAGCTGAGTTCCTTTGGCACAAAGGCAGAGGCGATTATGCTGGTGCCACTGTCTGCTTTAACCGTCATCTTGATGTCCCTCGATTTCGATGTATTGATTGCTTTGGTACGGAGCTGTACTGTAAGGATTGCATTGTGATCTTACACAGTCGGAATCTAGTGCATCACATCCAAGTAAGTCCATTTGCGCAATATTGTGATTGGACACTCATGTTTAGTTTTGTGATAGGAGTGGTCAAACTCTTGTTTTACAGCAGTGTCACTGAAGGGAGCCCCTTCAGTGACAAATTCTGTATTATATGGGTCACCCGACCTACATAATATCCCGTATAAGACAGGCCAGCGGACTATGGGCCAATGTTATGTATATCCCCAATGTTGATGGATGGGCCAGGAGGGATATTATTTCCGATGGAGATGGGTGGACCCATCTATGCTAATATTATATATATCCTCAAAGATGTCGGGTGGGCCAATGTAATGGTTTATTGTATAGATGGGTGGGCCGAGGTACAGGAAGTATTTTGTACACGGTGTCCTGCATGATGTGGGAATCATGCATGGACATGAATACTAGGTGACCCTCAAAAGATAAAGTCTGTTAGCTTAGTCCTCAGACTAGTCAACCCATACCTTGGTTTCAAACCATGGTTCATATTTCCAGTTTTCCCCAAGTTTCATGATCTGAATATGTTTTGACAGAAAAAGTCTAATGTGAGGTGGGAATCACATTTAGACCTAGTTGATGTGAGAAGGGAAATGAAGGTTAAGGTATAGCCTTGCCTTTGGCTTATTCACTTTGGCTAGAGAAAACCATAGAGAAAAGTACAAAGCCTATAAAAAACCTATCCAAAAAGACCGTGTTTCAATTCCTGCCAACTGTATTATTTTGACTGGGTTTCAATTTCTACCAACTGCATTATTTTTTTGACCATGTTTCAATTCCTGCCAACTGTCTTATTTTTGCTACCTACTTTTCTCTAGTGTTTCTTTACTTTACTTTTTCATTAGGATGCTTACACTTCATAAAATTGTACCCATAGGGTATGATGTCATTATGATGTCATAAGACTTCACAGATACTCCTGCAGGTATTCTGTTGAAAGATATTGTGTCATCAAACTCTAGATTATTCTACTCTACAATGACATCATTCATGATGTCATTTCCTTCTAGAATATTCTGCTCCACAATGACTCACTCATGGAAGGTTCTGGAATCTTTTGCTCCACAATGATGTCATTACTCCACATTCCAGAATGTTCTGCTCCACAATGATGTCATAGCTCCATCTTTCACTTGTATTTTATTCTTTTATTGGGTTTGACCCAATATTTTGATTGGTCCTCCTTATTTTTTATTGTTTGTGAACCTAGGTTACTTTCCCATACAAAATGTATATGAGGAGAGCCCATTCTCCCTCCAAAAAAAATATGATCTCCCATTTGTAGCAATCTGCCTATCAGATATTTCACTTGCAAAGTTAGTCCCTTTGAAGTGAGACAAGTGCAGGGAAAAGAATTCCCTTGAGATTATAAGTTTCTTACCTTAGAAACTTATTTAGTGCTATAGACCAAGCATTCTTGGTCACATATATTGTCTTTGAGACCCCTTTGTCTCATTGCTCTGTGCCCTTTGACTAAGCGATCTTAGTCATCTATCATATTGTTGAGACCATGTCTCACTAGTTGTCCCATAGACCAAGCGATCTTGAACATATATACGTATATTTGAGAGCATTGTCTCACAGTCAAGTGTCCATAGACCAAGCGATCTTGGTCATATTTCGTATATTTGAGACCACGTCTCACTAGTTCCAGTATCCAAGTCCAGAGCCTAGAAGGAGATTTCCTAGGCAAATACATTCCAGAAACCGAATTACGTGTCTAGAAGCTTATTCCTAGACAAGAGATTTGAGTTTCAATAAGGAAAAAGTAAAGCTCCGGCTAGGTTGATCTTTATAAAAAAATTAGTTTAGCGAGCCTCCCAAGAACTCACATGTTATCTACCACGAAATAGGAAAAGTCGTAGACCGTGTTAATCGAGGACTGGCAAGCAGTCTTATCCAAAGTGTAATTGTGGTGTCATTACATTTACACGACTTTATATAAGACCCTCGGTTATTAAGACAACAGGTGGGCCGAGGGAGTGGTGGAATATGTATTATATAGACGGGTGGGCCAATGTAAGGGTTTATTGTATAGACGGGTGGACCGACATACTGGAATTATTTTGTAGACGGATGGGCCAACGGAGTGGTGGAATATTCATTATATAGATGGGTGGGCCGAGGTAGTGAGATATCTGTCTGACATTCATGGATTACCGAGTCCCAGATGCCCAAAAACCGAATCCCATTGTGCAACATCCATTCCAGACACCCGAGCACCCCACCAAGTGCCAAGTGCCGAGGCCTGCGCCCTGATGTCCGAAGCCCAAAACCCGAAGCCCGAAATCTGAAAATATGTATACAACATATCCATATTTCCCTCACTGCACAAATCACTGGGTGTTGAGTACCGAAACCCAAAACTTGACACCTGGTACACAAATCACCAAGTGCCGAGTGCCGAGGCCCGCGCCCTGATGTCCAAAGCCCGAAACCCGAAAATATGTATACAACATATCAATATTTCACTCATTGCACAAATCACCAAGTGTTGAGTGCCAAAACTAGAAACTGACACCTGGTACAAAAATCACCAAGTGCCGAGTGCGGAGGCCCGAAGCCCGATGTCCGAAGCCCGAAACCCAAAGCCTGAAACCCAAAAATATGTGTACAACATATCCATATTTCACTCATTGCACAAATCACTGAGTGTCGAGTACCAAAACCCGAAACTTGACACCCGGTACACAATCACCAAGTGCCGAGTGCCGAGTGCCAAGGCCCGATGTCCGAAGCCTGAAACCCAAAGCATGACACCCGAAAATATGTATATAACATATCCATATTTCCCTCACTGCACAAATCACCGAGTGTCGAGTGCCAAAACCCGAAACTCAAAGCATGGTACAAAAATCACCAAGTGCCAAGTGCCAAGTGCCAAGGCCCGAACCCCAATGTCCGAAGCCCGAAACCCGAAGCCTGAAACCCGAAAATATGTATACAACATATCCATATTTCCCTCATTGTACAAATCATGGAGTGTCAAGTACCGAAACCCAAAACTCGACACCCTGTACACAAATCACCAAGTGCTGAGTGCTGAGGCCTGAGCTCTGATGTCCAAGGCCCCAAACCTGATGTCCGAAGCCCAAAACCCAAAGCCTGAAACCTGATAATATGTATGCAACATATCCATTTTTCCCTCATTGCACAACTTACTGAGTGTTCGAGTACCAAAACCTAAAACTTGAGACCCGGTACACAAATCACCAAGTGCAGAGTGCCAAGTGCCAAGGCCCAAAACCCGGCATCTGAAGCCCAAATTCTGAAGCCCGAAACCCAAAAACATGTATGCAATATTTCCATTTTTTACTCATTGCACAAATCAGCAAGTGTTGAGTGCCAAAACCCAAAACTCAAAACCCGGTGTGCAATACGCAAAGATAATGAAAACATGGAAGTTGTTGTCCAAGTCTAGGTGAGTGTATTGGTAGTCTTTCTTGTCAATTGGTTATTTCATTACTCGGTACTCAGTACTTGGTTCTGATACTCAGTACCTGGTGTAATGATAGTTGTGGCACTGGGCTCAAAAACCTGTGTTTTTGATACTCACATTAAACAGTATTTGTCTGACACATACCTGACATTCCGATCCTGATCCCGACGCCCAACCCCCGGCCTGAAAGTTTTGGACCCAACATTTTTGCATCGGACTCATCCTTCCTATGTCCTGTCTAGTTGTATCTATCCCCACTGGTGCATATTTACTCATTTTCGCATTATTGTATATTACAGACAGTGTTATTACATGTAAGCATAGACCATTGCACTTTTGACATTTTTCACGATTTTCAGTATCTTACCCTTGCATCCATGATCCAACCTTTTAATATATAATGAGCATAGCTTATATTATTGCCTCTGATGACCAAGATCAGCTCACAATAGGCTGGAGTTTGTGAGCTAGTGTGCATACTTGCCATTTGTCCTGATAAGGGGCCCATACCTTCAAAACATTGAATCTTCATGATCAGAAACCTGGAGTACATTTAAAATATATTAAGTATCATAGACATAAATTTACAGACAAATCCACCAAGAATTGAGTACTGAGGAAGTGAAATAGATAAGAAATGGAGTGTGGGAAACTTCAAAGACCCAAAGCATCGAAAATGGTCAGTGAAGTAATATAGGACTTTAATGCTGAGTCAACTCATGTTTTCACTATATCGCTTCCACCCACCCCCTACCCTCAAGGCAGTAGGCAGTATGGGTTCCTTAGGTACTTTACAGTCTATCCTACATATTTTTAATGAAATCTTTGGCCTGAATCATCTATAAATGTGACTTTGTAAAAATATGTCTATTGTCACATTTCACACATATGCCTGTCATTACATCAATCCTTCATGTATCTTTCTAAACTATTAGGGCTATTATAATGGACATATATGGGTGTTATTCCAGGTCTCTGATCCCATCACAGGCTTGTCATGTTGGATATCTCAACATAATGTGCAAGTCTCACTATTAATATTCATTCTTTTATCTGTATGCTCACTTACTGCACACATGTACAAATGCACGCCTCATCTTTACATCATTGCTAACATGCCAGACAAATATATAATCCTCATACCTGCATCATCCTACCTCAGTCTATTTGTTCTCAGACTGAGGTATGACTATACATTCATTATCATACTTGACACTGACTAACATTTAATGTAGTCTTCAAATAATCTCCAATTGACAAGAATGACATGAGTATGAAAATCAGTGGTTCTGAGCCCAGCACTGCAACCATCACTACACTGAGTACCAATACTTGGTAGGACCACCAATACACTCACATAGACTCGGACCACAACCTTCATTAAGAAAGTTAAGCATAATAATAATTTTCATTTTTTCATTATCATTTTCCTATATTGACTAGCGAGTCCCGAGTCCCAACCCTTGGTAGTCAATACAATTCCCAAGTTATTTGAACCCTACATCAATGGATAATACATACAAATACAGAATTCATGTCCAGTTGTAGTCATGTGTACCGGGTGTTGAGTTTCGGGTTTCGGTACTCGACACTCGGTGATTTGTGCAGTGAGGGAAATATGGATATGTTGTATACATATCTTTGGGTTTCAGGCTGATTTGTGCAATGAGTGAAATATTGATATGTTGTATACATATTTTCGGGTTTCAGGCTTCGGGTTTCGGGCTTCGGACATTGGGGCGCGGGCCTCGGCACTCGGCACTTGGTGATTTGTGTACCAGATGTCAAGTTTCGGGTTTCAGTACTCGACACCCGGTGATTTGTGCAGTGAGGGAAATATGGATATGTTGTATACATATTTTCGGGCTTCGGGCCTCGGCACTCAGCATTCAGTGATTTGTTTAATGTAAATGAAAAATGGGCATGTTGCATACCGGGTTTCAAGTTTTGGGTTTTGGCACTTGACACTCGGTGATTTGTGCAATGAATGAAAAATGGACATTTTGCATACATGTTTTTGGGTTCCAGGCTTCGGATTTTGGGTCTCAGGCTTCAGGTCTATCAGGACTCGGCACTCGGTGATTTGATAACTGGACTTTTAAGCTTCAGGCTTTGGGTGTTCAGGTGTTCATGTGTTTGGTGTAAGGAAATAGAAATTTCACACATTTTCACCAGTTTCCAGTTTCCAGTCTTGAGCTTGGGGTGTTCGGGTGTCCGGAATGGATGTTGCACAATGGAATTCGGTTTTTGGGCATCTGGGACTCGGTAATCTGTGAATGTCAGACAGATATCTCACTACCTCGGCCCACCCATCTATATAACATCCCCCTCCATCGGCCCACCCGTCTATATAATGAATATTCCACCACTCCCTCAACCCATCCGTCTACAAAATAATTCTAGTATGTCGGCCCACCCGTCTATACAATAAACCCTTACATCGGCCCACCCATCTATACAATAAACCATTACATCGGCCCACCCGACATCTTCGAGGATATATATAATATCAGCATAGATGGGCCCACCCATCTCCATCAGAAATAATATCCCTCCCGGCCCATCCGTCAACATCGGGGATATACATAACATCGGCCCATAGTCCACTGGCCTATCTTATATGGGATATTATGTAGGTCGGGTGACCCGTATAATACGGAAATATGTCACTGTAATATGTGCACTCTACACTACACAAACCACCTCACATCCCTATGTCCATTCACTCTCTATTGGCTCGTTGTTTCTCCCCAACACCCATCTCTACATGCCTTTCAATATGGCCTCCTGTGGTGCTCTGGTGCTTGCATCATGCTTTGTTTCTGAGATTGTCATGTATCCTACTCATGTGCCATGATAACAGTCTTAATACATGTCATTGTACTACTCAGAAGGAATATATGAAATGCTGTTCAAAATATATTGTCAGAATGGTGCAAGTAAGATTAAAGTATGAAGTTCCATAGCACAAAGTTTGTCAAGTATGAAAATCATTAGTTCAGATGAGAGCAGGCCCACTTCACAGCTTATTCAAGTTTGCAACAGCTGACTTCATAATCAAATTTAGTGAATGGGGAGTCAATAAAACCTGCACTACTGGAGGACAATGATACCAAAGGGTAAAAGGGAACATCAAATGATATAGTGGGTTCTTGTATGACAGGTGTGTCAATGAGAGGTGCACTATTGAATGCAAGAGGTGGGTTGATGAGAGGTGCGCTATTGAATGCAGGAGGTGTGTTGATGAGAGGCGCACTATTGAGTGCAGGAGGTGTATTGATGAGAGTCATGCTATTGAGTTTAGGAGGTGTGTTGATGAGAGGCGCGCTATTGAATGCAGGAGGTGTGTTGATGAGAGGCATGCTATTGAGTTTAGGAGGTGTGTTGATGAGAGGCGCGCTATTGAATGCAGGAGGTGTGTTGATGAGAGGCGCACTATTGAGTGCAGGAGGTGTGTTGATGAGAGGCATGCTATTGAATGCAGGAGGTGTCAATAAGAGTGCCATCCATCTCATTCTCACTGTCAACAGTAGTGGAACTCATATATGGAGCCTTCTTACAGGGCCTTGAGGTTGCATTTTTATTGGGAGAAAAGGCATGGCACCGCTTCTTGTCCTTATCTGAGTGAGACTAGCAGCAATGTTGCCGCTGTTGAGCTTGCCATTTTGCTCCTCAATGAGCTCCTACAACTCCTCGTCATCTAGCTGTCTCCAGGCAGTTTCTCCAGACTTCTATCTCTCTCTGAGGACCTCCAGAGCAGGGATGCCTTACTAATATTGTCAAAGGGGATCTCATCAGGCCATCCTTCTATTACTACTTGATAGCATGAAACAACATTGTGCCAATAATGGACCCACTGCATTGTCGCCTTTGGGTTATTTGTAATCTTCTGAGAGGAAGACAGATTCAGATCGTAAATACTCTCTTGTGCCTAAGGTCATCATGTGCCTCATTGAGTAGCTGATACCGCTTTGCTTCGGGGACAATAAGCTGATGCTTCCCTTGCATATCTTTCCTCTATAATCTGCCATTGAAGATAAAGTACTGGCGAGATGCACCAACAAAAGTTTTGAATTCTTTGTCCGAGAGTTCCAAGGGTTGTTCTCAGTTCTCTAGGCACTTCTGAATATTCAGGATTCTTGCATCTTGTGCTTTGGCAATCTCGGAGCGTGAGATGCAGATATTGTCAGGACTATCTTTAGTAGTACCTAAAAATGCGGAAAGGATGGGGGGTCAGGTTAGTGGGTTTGGTACAGATATAGTATATGGGTAGCGTGGGTTATCAAAATATATCTGTGCAACAGCATAAGTGTGGTCGTTGAGAATATCCATGGAAGATGAGTATGAGCAGTCAAGCCAGTCCTCATGATCATCACTCTTGTCCAGATCTTCAGGTGCACGAGGTCTTCTTGAGAGTCTGTCAGCACTGGCATGCTTTGCTGCGGGAACATGAATTAGCAAGAATTGAAATAAGAGAATACAAGCAATCCATCGGTTGATTGTCACGTTAGGTTGGAGATCAGGGTTATTGATCATCCCCTTAATATACTTAGTGTTGACCTCAACCACAAGGTTGGTGACACCAAAAATAAAAACTCAGACTGCATGAAGTGTGTGGAGCAATCTGTATAGCTCGAGTTTCACTTGCAAATAGCGGCTCTCTACTTCTGTAAGTGTGATGGATCCGAAGCAGTTCGGGTAACATTTTCTGTCTTTGCTGATTTGGAGAAGGATAAATCCTACGGCAATGTTGGAGGTATCAACAGTGAGGATGACTTTGTGACCCATTTGTAGTTGATTGGGCAGAGTGTGGGGACTCTAATATCAAGTCCTTGAGTGTCTGCATCGCTTCCTGCTGTTCCAATTCCCATATGAGTAGTGCGTTCCTGCATGTAAGGTTGATGAAAGGTTGGGTGATCTTGGAAAAATTCTTAATGAAGATACAGAGGACTCTGTATGTTCTAAGAAAGCCCCACCCTTACATGACATTGCTACACTGGGGCCAATCTCAGATCTTCTGCACTTTGGACTCTTCTGGAACTCTGCCTTTGAATGTACATTTGTGACTGTCAATGATAGTGGTCAGTGTGGCTAGAATGAACTTAGTAGCAGATATGGTAACACCAACATATTTGAGTCTCTGGAGAATGTGGTTGATCACCTTACAATGCTCCTGGCATTTGAACCGGCAAATGCCCAGGTTCTTTGGAATAGTCTCATATGAGCCATCAGCTTGGTGATATTGGGTTTTCGCCTATTTGACTGGGACATCATCAATGAACGGAGAAATATACTCTGGTATCTCATGCTGCAAAATAGATGCTGTATCTCCTTGGTATACCTGGACTGTGTTAGCATGTCCTTGCGGCAACATGGTTAACTGATGGGTCTGAGTGGGGTTCCAAAGGTTGTTAGGTTGTGCGAGTCTTCATGCAATGCTTGCTGATTATAACCTGAGTACAGATACATCATGCCATATACCATGTATCCTGCGAAGGACTCAGCGAGGTCCTCAATGAATGGTGGGACTGAGGAGTCTCGTATGGTCACTGCATTGAGCGGCTGGAAGTCATGAACTAGATGTAGGGACTTTCCGTATTTCTTGACTATGCAGAACCAGCATGAATGGTATGCGGCGGTGGACAGTTCATAGACTCCGGAGTTGATTTTCTCCTTAATGATTCTGATAACTTTGCTGACAGTTGCTGGGGGAATAGGGATGTTGCGCTGAGACCATGGGGTATGCGGAATTGTTGGAATTTTGTATGGCGGAAAATAAGTTTTATTGAGACATCTGCATTCACTTGCATCCCAAGCAAAAGCCATTTCGTGTACTCTAACTGTTATGGACTTAGATAGTGTCTGTTGGCGATGCTCAAACAGAGCGTGTGTCATCAATGGTCAAGGACATCCTTGGGCTAGCCCAAGGTTAGGAGTCTTGCTTGGCAAAGCTTCAGCAAGCAAGGTTTAACACCTATGTCCAAATTGGGTAGCTTATGTCAAGCAGGGCTTGACGATAAGTGTATCTTCCAAGGCTTATGACACCCGAAGGTTAATTGTAAGATCTACATTAATAGAAGGACAGAAGTCCAACTAATAACAGAGGCTTTGCTCAATAACAAAGTTGATGAGTAAAGATCAAGACTAAAGACTTATCCGTGATGAGCAGATAAGAAGATAGAATATAGACAGCTGGATAGGCTGAAGGAATCACTCTGGTGAGAGTAGGAGGTCAAGAACCAAGTAGATTCAAGTTAAGGAACTAGATACATGGTAGCAAGTTTATATAGAGGAGGGGAGACATATTAGTGGATGATAACTTGTACTACCAAAAGAAGAGATGGTCAAAGGGTGATACTGAAAGAGGAAGGCACATTCGAGGTGAGTCATAGGCGAACCAAAATGTGCAGATAAGGGGTGAGTCAAAGAACAGAAATAGGAAGTGAAACATGCAGGGGCACAATTGTGCAACTGCAGATCTAAGTATAAATACAATGTGCGACTGCGCACTAAGTCATAGATCAAGAAAGGGAAACAGGGCAAAGGGATGCAGCATGCATTGTATCATAGGTTACCCTCCAGACGGTAAGGATACAGGAGAATATCCACAGGATCAGTCATTGAGTGAAATAGAGCATGGGTATGCTTTGTCAGAGACAGGGTCCAGTCAGATGTACTGGCTCTGCTAAAGCAACAGGTAGAGGGCAAAGGAAAATGCAAGAATAACAAGGATAATGAGAGCAAGGTCAGGGTACGGGTGTGATACAAGGGCTGAGACGAGGAGGATAAGGAGAAAAATGGTAGGGGCCCAAGCATCTAGATGTTCTTATAACAATAACAAGCCAACATATGAGTTTCAGTTCTTGGGGCCATAACAACTTTGCCAGATCTAAGTCTAGGTTGTTGGATCTCTCTTACATGTAGCGGATGCCCAGAATAAAGTCGAGTGAAAGGAATGGCAATGTAGGCATGCTGGCCAAAGGATCATCAAGGAATTTCCTTATAACTCTATATTTGAGGGGCATAGTCATTTGTACAGTTTGGACTTTCTTTGCAACTGGTTTGTAGACTAGTGCGTGCTTGGTTTTGTCGAATGAATATACACTGTTGAAGGCATGGACAGATGAGCAGTTAATGACCAAACAGGTTGTTACGAGATAATTATAGTGCGCCAAAGCATGCATGACAAAGGGAATGTGCAGGGTATCATTGCTCCATGAGAGCAAGGTTTGCGTGGATAGTGTGAGGCAGTTATTAGTTTCTGAACTTAAATAATAAGGAATAATGGAAGATGCAACAGTTTGTAAGTCTCCCGCAATAGCAGATCATCGGTACTTAAAAACCCTTTGGACTTGGATGGTCCACACACAACATATTGTGCCTACACTTCACACAATTTCTAGCCCATGGGTCCATAGGTATCCTGATAATTTTTCCAATGTTTGGATCGGTGAGCATAACATCCTAATTGCTGTTTGGAAGGTCAGTTGTTAGACAACTGATTAACGTGAAGAATGGTCTCCTGAGTAGTAGGTCAAAATTGGCTGTTGGGACGATCTGAACCTGGAACATCATATCTCCCATTCAATGGCTGCCTTGATGCACACTTTGTCTCTGACACCCACATGATCAGTGAGTTGGATGACATCTTCTAGGTATGGGATGAGATGGGTAGGTCTTCCATCAAACTTCGGAGCAGCGTCCATGCTGCAGAGAGGCACTCTAAATGGTGCAGATGACATGATTGTGGGTTGCAAGAGAGGTAATGATATGGAAAGTGTTGTGGGTAGCTACAAAGAGGTTGCAATGAGTGGAGCAATATTCAGAGCAGGGATCTTTGGTCCAGATAGCAAAGGTAGGGCTGCGACATGTTGTCTTGGCAAAGGTTTTGGTAGTAGTGGGGTTATGTCGAGGAAGGGGTTATCTGGTGATGGTGCATAGAGAATGTTGTGTTGTGGTTTTCCAAATCTAAGTTATATAACAAGTGGATTAATTTTAAAGGATTGTCTGTGTTTTCTTCTTCCTGAGTTTCGGTGAGTTCAGTATTGTTGGGGGGTACTCGGCGAGAGTTGCTGTATCACAATGTTTTCAGATGGTGGCAGATCTAGGATGACCGGTACAATAATTTCTCTTAGAGTAATTTCTAGCATTCAGAGGAAACAGCAAGGGTTAATCTGAAGTTGTTTATCTCTGACTGGAAAGGAGTCCCTCACAGTAGGCTCTAGTTGTAAAGAGTAATCCTGGGCTGGGCTCTACAGAATGTGAGGTTCAAGTCCTCAGAGATGTGAGTGTGCTTTGTCCCAAGAGACAACCTAAAGAACTACTGTAAGGCAGCTGTACAAGTTCAAAGGGAATTGTGAGCGAGTTGAGAGGTAGATAGAAATAACGGAAAATGTGAAATGATGTTTGAGATGTTTTGAGATAAGTGTAATCAGGAGGGCTTCTGAGATGTCTTGGAGCAGAGGTCTGAGTATATAATTCACTATTAGATGAGAGTGTACATGGG